AGGCTCGATTAAAAAAAATACTACTTGGGCTTAGTAATAAATAAATTATGCAATTATTATTAATAATTCTCCGCATAATTAAAATAATACTAATACCAATAAATAAGTCGAGCTATTAATATAATTTTTGTATGGGGTGTTACATCCTTTTTGGTTCGGTATGCAATTAATGGGCAAGTGATTGTTCAGCTAAGTGATTCGAATATCCGACACATTCAAGTACTCATTCTCAATAACTTTTCGTAACAAGAGAACAAACTAGAACGACAAATTAACAACTCATTTAACTTCTAGGCAATACAGTTACGAACAAGCCTAGTTCATACGAGTCTATTTCGACCGACTCCTCCCCTTTCGGTTCTAAGAGTCGATTAAAGTAGACTAGAGGGTGGTTAACGACTAATCAAACAGGACTACCACTATCATACACGAATAAATCCAATTCATTTGAAAATAATTGCACGTTGAAGTGTCACCCTTCAACAATTCTCAATATTTAAGAACGATAATTAAAAATCTCTTTCAAAAGTTCAACTCGCATGAAACGAACAATCACGAATCCCACGATCACAATCGAGACCAAAACGATAATCCCCTATTCCCTAGCATTATGATTTAGCTACTCATGACCGAATAATTGACACAAACATCCATAATCAAAGAAAACACATCCACAGATTAAATGTATAGAAAACTTACGATTAATGAAATTGAATAATAATCCGGTAAACAAGATCAATATGAAGGAAATAGCAAAATCCGAAATCCAATCCGTGTTCTACGTCCCGAATTATGAAATAAAAGATGAAAAAAATTAGTTTCTGAAGGGAAAGGATCGAGAGAAATAAAAACCTAGGCGTGAATGATCTCCCAGTAGATCACAAAATTTGCTTATTTAAACTCTGAATTTCACGCACGTCGCGGCCGCGGAGGGGCCCGCGGGCCGCAGTGAAGGAAAGCTCCGCGGCCGCGAGATCGTCCGAGGCTGCAAAAACTTTGTTCTGAACTCCGAGGCTTGGGACCTCTTGTTCGCCGCGGCCGCGGTAAAGAGGAAGTCGCGGCCGCGGCCTTGAAATCTGGGCGCGCATGGGAGAAGTTGCAGGCGCCGCGCCGTGGCAGGCTTGCCGCAGCGCTGGGAGTGTTTCTGTCGCTGCGTGGCGGTGCTTCCGCGGCGTGGTGGAGAGAGGTGACACGGCGTGGGCCCTTGTCGCACGTGGAGCGGTGTGCTGGGAAGAGTGTCGTGAGCTCGCGGCGCGACCGGTCTCAGCGGCGCGGCAGATCATCACTTCACGGCGTGGCGTGTCTTCACTTCAGGCGCGGCGGATTGCTTCACGGCGCGGAGGCCTGGAACTACCGCGGCGCGGGACTGCTTACGGCGTGGTGTTGGAGTAGCAGCCTTGTTCCAATGCACGATGGAGAAGAGGGCCTGGTCTTGGAGCTGCTCTGCTGCACGCTCGCGAGTACGACGGCGAAGGGTGGCTGAAGGTGCGTCTCTGCTGGGCGAGGTGAAGTGCCGCGGCGCGAGGATGCACGCAACGGCGTGACGTGCCTGGACTACTGGCTCACGTAAAAGTCCCGGGCTCTTTTGAACTCGATTGAACTTGTCGCTAACAAAGCCTTCTAAATAGTCACGCTTGCCCGACGAATAAATTCCTGAAAATCTATCGTCCTGAGAGTTCCAACCTGCACACTACTCAAGACGACAACGAAACGGAGAAAACGAAGAAAATAACCGAAAAAACGCATGGAGACTCTAAATAAATGAAAACACACGACAAGAAACAAAACGGACCAAAAAAAACACGAAAAACATAAAATGGGAGAAAAAGAAAGGTAAAACAAACACGAAAAATGTAACAAAAATGGGACAAACAGCCTCAACATTGTTGGCAATGGATCTCTCGAAGAAGATGCGCTGCTATTTTTACACTCTCAATCCATGACCACCACGAGAGCTCGACATTCTTAATCTGGAATAATTTACAGAAAAAACGACTGTAGAATTGGATGAGGAATATGACTGGGTGTGGGGGTATTTATAGACTGCCATTATTTGAAATCGCTCAAATAATGGCAGAAAACACAGGCAAGAAAATATCAGCAGCTTCAGCTAGGGCTCACACTAGGAAATCCAAGCAAAGGGGCAAGAATCCTTTCAGATTTTTTTCTTCAAGTAAGTTTTTCTTTCTTCACATCTTTCTCTTCCTCTTTTATTATACTTTTCGGATTCCTTTTTATCGTCTAATCCAAGATCCAAACTTGGCAAAACGGGTTTGAAATCTTTTTGAATTGGTATAAAATCCACGGTTTCTATATATGAAAAGATGTTATGATAACTATGCGTTGAAGTTGATATTCTTAGGGACTGTGTGCACACTCAGTTCATAGGAACTTGTTCAAAATTTTCACATGACAATTGAAATTATTGATCAGTTAGAAAAAGAAACAATAATAATAATAATAGTTTGGTCAGAAAAGAGAACTTATCCAGCCTCAGGCTATGATTAAACTTGCAGATTCTCCCATTTCTAATGGTAATTTCATTCTGACCAAATTCAGTTTACTTTATCACTAAGAGTTCTCATCGTAAGAGCAAGCAACTACACTGTGTTGTGATTGCTATAATTCTTGTGCTGTTCTACAGAAATAATGATTGCCCAGATAGCAATTGGGTCACTAATTGGATTTTTGGGATATGCTTATCTGGCAATAAGACCACATGCACCTAAAATATGCGGCTCTCCGGGTGGACCCCCGGTGACCTCACCGAGGGTGAAACTCAGTGACGGGAGGCATTTAGCTTACAAGGAGAGAGGGATTGAAAAAGAAGAAGCCCAGTACAAGATAATTGTTTGCCATGGCTTTGGTGATTCTAAGGATTTCAACCTTCCTGTTTCTGAAGTAAACAGATTTTTGAGTATTTTGATCTTGTTCGAGTAACACTACTTTTTACTGGATGTGCCATTCAAACATTTTCATATTATATTCATTTTTAGAAAGAAGTATGTACTATGAGCTTCAAATTGAATATGTTGGTATACACAAGATTGACTAGCATCGAAACGGTGCGAATGAGTATTTTGTTAATATAATTGAATTCGTTTGTATGTCGGTCTAATTAGATTCCTACATTGAAGTTATTGCTGTTGAATTTGTTTGGGATAACTTGTACATTTCAAGGTTATTATTTGTGGTGCACGAGAGTGGCAACTACTAATGTTCTTTTGTTTCTTTTCCTCAGGTGACATTTGAATGTTCGTTTCTATGATTTTATTGCTATGAGTATCGTGAATGCATGTCCTTTATTTCATGTTTCTTTGTTTGAACCAAAATTTATATTGCGTCCGGCGTGAAGAATTGATTAAATTCTCGAAGTTGTTACTGTAAACTCGAGTTTTCCTTTTTTCAACCAAGATGTTTATTGGATACTGCTATAGTTTGTCTCTTACTTTCTTATATTGCAATTTCTCGTGTTTTTTGTCCGAAGAATTAAATCTGTAATAATGATTTTTAATATTCTAATTTCAAGGAGCTCATAATCGAGTTACGTATGTACATCTTATCATTCGATCGTGCGGGTTATGGAGAGAGTGACCCTAATCCTGCAAGGACTGTGAAGAGCGACGCATTTGACATTCAGGAACTGGCTGACAAGTTGAATCTCGGGCCCAGGTTTTATCTGATTGGCATATCCATGGGAGCTTATCCTGTTTACGGCTGCCTAAAATACCTCCCTCACAGGTACACTACTGTATATGATTAAATTGGACCATATACTTTCCCCTGAGACTGGCATTTTGATTTTTTGTCCATGTCAATTTACAGAATGCTAGAGGTCTGCTGTTTTCTAAAGTATTTTGGCCGAGAAAGTTGCTGAAAGTTAAATTTGAGATTGATAGGAAAAATAAAATTGATAATGTTTAATTTCATATTCATAGTTATAATTATGAAAATCACTGTACCTGCAATATTGTTAGTACTATTGTTAACACTGCTTGCATCACATAACAATTTTATTACACACACTCTATACATAACTTTTCTGGTAAGTAGAATTTTTTTTTTTTAAATAAAAAAAAACTTCAGCCTTAACTTCAAACACTTGCATCTTCTTTTAGTTATCACTAAGTATAATTGGTAAATTTTTAATTCATGTGCATTCTACTATCAGATGCCGATTTTATATTTTCTGTTATTGAAGGGTTTTGGGAGCTGCGCTTGTTTCTCCTGTCGTTAACTACTGGTGGCGGTGTTTTCCTCCAGAACTTTCAAAAAAAGCCTTGGGAAAAACTATTTTCCAAGACCGGCTGACTTTTAGAATTGCACATTATGCCCCCTGGCTGTTGAACTGGTGGATGACTCAGAAGTTGTTCCCGTCTTTCAGCATCTTGCAAGGAAAGCTCGATGTTTTTAGCCGCTCAGACCTTGAGATCCTCAAGCAGTCGCCAGAAATTCCAAAAGAGGAACAGGTAAGTTTCCATTTCCCAATAAGCTTGTCTGATTCTGAGGTTGTAGCCTTGTTGCACCTTCAACCAAAATTACAAATCGTGCTTAATGTTTGAAAAATTACCAAATTTTATAATCCCAGCTTATAACCCACTGGTCCCACATTTTGTATTTCTAGTCATGTAAGCAATTTAGCTAGAATTTTGTTTCGTCAGCTCAATTTAGTTCATACCCTCTTCATGGAGGGTACAACTGTGAAATGATAACAGATGTATCTTTAACTTTTTTAAAGTTAACCATGTGTTCTGTAATTAGGATAACCCCTGAGGGTGGGTTTAGTGATTTAACATATTAATGCATAGATGCTCAACATGTTATTGCATAAACCTACTTTCTGGAGAAGATAATTCGAAGACATTTAATAACTCGAAATTCCAGTTTTTTCTCATAATTTGTGTGTGCTGATTGATAACGGTATTTTCTATTATTTGCCCTTTTTCCAGGAGAAAATACTACAACAAGGTGCTCATGAATGTTTTCATAGGGATTTGATGGTAGGTTTTGGGAAATGGGAATTCGATCCCATGGATATCGATAATCCTTTCCCTAACAAAGAAGGCTCGGTTCATATGTGGCATGGGTATGAAGATAAAGCTGTTCCTCAAGAGGTTAATCGATATTTGGCCGAGCAGCTTCCATGGATCCATTATCACGATGTTCCCAGTACCGGACATCTGTTGATCTATAATTCCACGCTTTGTGAGTCCATACTCACTGCGCTTTTATCTTCATGAATGGAATACGCAGCCTTGTAAAGGGTCGATTTTTTTTTATTTTTATTTTTTTGTCCTGTAACAAAGTGTGAATTTAAGAACCTTCCTCGACTCGTACGATCTAGTGCAATTACTGGTTTTTTATATATTTTTCTTTTACGGTTGGTTCAATTGTAAAACCCGGTGACTATCAGGTGAAACATTCCCCTGCTTCCATGTTATATGTCAAATTTTCTTGATTTTGGGGATTTGATTTCTTGAAGAACTGTTGATTTTGATTTTGATAGACGGCAGAGAAGAGGACGTTTGGTAATTTATAACGAACATCGTTAGATGAAAATCGTGAAATGAATGTGAGAGGAAATCCAAAATTGCTAAATCTATACTTATATAAAATGTTATCCAATTTACTAAAATTAGTAGAAAAAATAGTCAACTCATAATTAATTTCACATCATATTTAGAAAATTTTTAGAATTTTTAAATCATCCATGTTCAAGTAAAGCACTTATTGGCCGTTCGGGAGAGATCTCGCTCCGATTCGAAAAGGGATTCGTTTCAGGGTCGACGAAGTTGAGGAAGCGATTTCCGGGCTACCATATCTATACTTATATAAAAAGTCATCCAGTTTACTAAAATTAGTAGAAAGAATAGTCAACTCATATTTAATTGCACATCATATTTAGAAAGTTTTTAGATTTTTTAAATCATAAAATATGGTAGTACTAAATGCCCCTGAAATTATGAGTTTTGTTGATTTCATTTTTAATAAAATCTATATCGAAATTTATGTGTGATTTTGAAGTGAAAAATTAAAATTCAAATCTCTTCTCATTTTAGTTACAAGAAAATCGGGCTGCATTCAACACTTGGACCAATTTAAAAATTATACCTTAAATGAATGGATTTATAGATAATTGTTATCTGTACTCAATCACATGATTATTTTCAATATAAAAAGAACAGATTACAAATTAGTGAATCATATATTACCTAATTCAAAATCCTAACATTAAGGAATAAATCCATAGTATTATGTAAATTTGTATCTCATATTATTATATCATTAAGAATATATTATAGTTATATTATCAAACCATAAAAAGATGTTAAATCCATATTATAAAAAAAATAATTCATATAATTTTATAACAATTCTACTAAACTATTTAACAGTATTTCTTTTTATTATATAATAAAATAATAATTAAATATTATATGGTGAACAAGAATAAGTAACACTGTTACTTTCTCTTATATCAAGGGTAAATTTATATGTTGAAATTAAATTTATATTAGTATAAATGTTTTAGTGAGATAATATATTAATTATTTTACAAGCTAGCCCTAACATACTCATATTTAATGTTCCTGCTAAAAAACAATGTTGGTTAAAAGATGTGGAAAAAAACTTATAACCCTATTGTTTTTTAGACTTAACGTTGATTAAAAGAGGTAGAAAATAGATAATAACTACAACATAAATGGCTTTAGGTAGCAACATTTATTGTAATACTCTACAAATTATTAGTTTTGTATCATATTATTGTAACACTTTTAATATAAGTAATACCAAAAACTAGCAAAAGTATCATATAAGTGTTACCAAAAACTACGAAAAGTATTAACTTTGACTTTAGGTAGCACAAACAACTGCATCGCCAATACTGTATTACCTATTGTCTAAAGAATTACACTAAATGGTGGTACCTAAAGCCATTTATGTTGTAGTTATTACCTTTTAGACTTAAACGAACAAGACTGCTAAATTAATGCATTTAATATCTCTGTACCGTGCATCGCACGGGGTACGTACTAGTCTATATAATAAGAATTACTACCTCCTATTTTTAATACATATCGTTTTGACAAGTTGCACACTAATTAAGAATTTTTTTTGTCAATAATAACCTTATTTAATGAAGATAGAGATTAATGTTTTGAGAAAAAATGAAGAGTAAATATAAAAAGACGTAATGTATTTATTGGCTAAATGAGGGTAATAATGGAAAAATATGTACAAAAGATCCAAAACGATATTTATTTGGCAAATAGTTGATAAAGCTAGAATGACATTTAAAAAAATAGGAGGGAGTATCATTTATTATTTAGTAGCCAAAAATTTAGGAAACATTTAATGCATACCATTTTGGGAAACTATTTAAATATATGCATTATTTGCTTTCATATACACATTTTCAAATAAGATCAAATAAGATAAGATCAAAAATTACTTAAATAAATTTATTAATATATGCAATATTTTCATTGCTATTTATTATAATAAATTACAAGATTGATTTTTCGTGATTCATGTTGATAATATTTTGGTCAAGATAAATATTATTTTATTAGTATGTGTAATACTTTCATTAATATTCATTATAATAAATTAATTTTCATGATTCATTTTGATAATATTTTGGTCAAGATAAATGTTACACCATATTTTATTTATTTTTTTCACAAATATTCATTTTTAACCATAATATTATTTTTTTCACAAATATTCATTTTTAACCATAATATTATTTTTTTCACAAATATTCATTTTTTATCCGAAAATATTTATGGACAATCGTAACAAGTTAGGTAGATATTTTTTTTCAACTAAGAAGACGAAATCAAGTTGATGAATTAATCTTTCCCAATATATTTTTTTCTTAAGCTTTATTTTGTTAAATATAAAAATAAATTGTTCTTCAAATTAATATAATTTACCATTTAATAAGAGATAATTACTAGATACATTAAATAGTTTTACTAATGGTAAAAAATTAAAAATGAAATGTATTAACTATTTTAGAATTTTTTTGTATATTATTGGCACCCATGATTTTTTTTTCTATAATTAAATTTTTGTAAAATATATTTTCATTACAGAGCATGCTAAATAAACTATAAATCCTTATGATACGAATTAGAAAAATCTTGATCAGAGAAGGGATTGAGAGTTTTTGGCATTTTTTAGATAAAAATTGTTTAATTAGTATAAAAAATTAAATTATAAAAGACATGTGTATATATTGTAAAATATTACATATTTTAAATTGATCATAAATAAATAATACTAATGTGCATTAAATATTTTTTATTATATAAAATAAAAATATAAGAAATACGTACAACTTTTATAACTTTATAAATAATAATGATATTATATGACAACAAAGTTTATAATAAAATAATAATTAAGTATTATATGGTGAACAAAAATAAGTAGAATTGTTATTATCTCTTATATCAAAGAATAAATATATATACTAAAATTAAATTTATGTTAGTATAAATGTGTTAGTGAGATAATATATTATTTAATTTAGAAGCTAACCCTACCATGCTCATATTTAATGTATTGACTAAAAAAATAACGTTGATTAAAAGAGGTGCAACATAGATTATAACCTTATTGTTTAATACACTTAACACTAATTAAAAGAGGTAGAAAATAAATGACAACTCTATTGTTTTTTTGTACTTAAACGGAAAAGACCTAAGCCTGTGAAAATAACTCATTTAATATATTTGTCTCGTGCATCGCACGGGGTACGTACTAGTTCAGACTTCGAATCATGAGGCACTTTTTCTTTATGATGGCTTATTCCAGTTTCCAAGTGCATTACACTTGCACATTTCTCATGTTTCTTTATCTTTTTATATAACTACGAGACACCGGGTGTGTTAAAAAAATGTAATAAAAAATGAACATATAAAACTACAACAAATAATGAATAACTAGTAACGTCACAACGATTAAAATGAAATATGTTTTGGGAAATGCTACGGTCTCGTTACGGAACTACCGGCGGGATTTTTAACTTTAGATCAACTATCCCCGACCGCTACATGACGGTCTAACGGATTACAAACTTCGATGAAATGGTTCCGTAACGGAACTGTAGCATCTCCTCATGTTTTGACCCTCAAATTGTCAAAATAGATAATCATTTCAATTACATTTATAAAGTATATATGTTTAACACAAATATTATTTACAATTTGTTGCGCTTTCTGCTTTTAGTATAATATTTTGGAATTTTTTTATATATTTTTTTTGTATTTTTCTTGGGGAGGAAGATTTCATAGAAATGGAGGAGAAGATAGGGAGAGAAATTAGAGAGAGAAAGATTGAGATAGAGAGAAAAGTTATAGCTGTTGAACTTGTCATTTTCTGAAAATCACGCATCCCTTATACACTGCTCAGTGACCCCACTTACTAAGGAAAATCGGCCTAAACAACTTGGCCCGAAACATAAAAATTGCTACTACTTAATAATGGGCTCTTACTACTAAATTGGCCCAATACTAAAAACTTAATTACTAATTAATATAACTTTGACCCAATACATATCAAAGCCTACCAACATAATTGAAGTTGTTCTTTTGACTCAATCGAGACCCATCTTCATTTCTCATCTGCAAACCCAAAATGCTCTCCACCTAAAGGCGTCGCCTTTTTCGTTTCTCCAACCACCTTATCTGCTCCTTTCACCGCCATCGCCTCGCCGGCGCCATTTTCTTTCCCAGTCATAACAATACCCCTCGATGTTAAAGATCCTTGTCCCCAAGGATCAAAGTTGGGAAATTTCTTTTGTAAGAATTTCAGATCTTCCCAAGTTGCCGACTTGCGGTCATGCCCTAACCACTGCACCAATAACTGATGAGCCTTCCGACCGCCGATATTGATGTAGCGCTGGTCTAGGGTGCATAAAGGTGCGACCTTTGCTACACCATTTTCGTCAGTCTGTGGCAAGTTAGTAGCCGCCGTTGCTACTGGAGGAATGTGCCGCTTCAAAGGGGAAACATGGAAGACCGGGTGAATCTGGGAATCGGCAGGTAAATCCAAACGGTAAGCCACAGCACCAACCTTCTCTATTATGGTATAGGGCCCATAGTATTTAGAACTGAGTTTGAGGTTCTTTCTGAGAGCCACTGAATGCTGCTTGAATGGCTGTAGTTTCAAGTAAAAATGTTCTCCCACACTGAATTCCCTTTCTTGTCTGTGCTTGTTGGCATAAAAT